CACACACACACACACACACACACACACACACACACAGAAGCTTGAGTGCAACGTACAGGCTAGAGGCCCTTGCAGGCCCAGCGGCTGTGATGGTGGGGTGGGGAGAAGGCTGACACCATCTTGTTCCCCAGCCTAAGAGGGAGTGGGGCCTTCTCCTAGGGTCCAAAATAGGGGTCCCTGTTTGGGGAGCACCTATCCCCTCAGGGGGATGTTGGAGAACAAGCTCCTGGTTAGACCCAGCTGCTGAGAGCCCCTCTGAGCCCACCTTCCGTGCCCACCCACCAGCTTGGCAGCATGCCCCCACCCGCCAGCCCAGCCCATACCGTGCTGAAGTTGGGGAAGAGACTGAGCGGGGCGGCACCATTGAAGTGGAAGGCGAGCAAGTGCTTGAAGTCCAGCGGGGGCTGCAGAGGCCGGGTGGGCAGGGGCAGGGAGGCCAGCAAGGGGCTGGGGGCGCTGGAGGCCGGGCCTGCTGCAGGAGGAAGAAGGGCAGGGTCTGAAATGGGCTCTCTCCTATCTCTGTAGCCAGAACAAGAGGCGGATGGACTTCTTGGTATGGAGCCAGGCAGAAACTTGTGTCTCTCTTCCCAGAGTGGCACCAGCCAGAGCCAGGGTGATTACAGCCCCATTCTCTGTGCCCTTCCTCCCCACAGCCGAGGAAGGAGAGGCAGGGAGTCCACAGTTCAAGGCTCCCAGCCCAGAGAGATGACCCTCCCACCCCTACTGTGGCAGCACACTGAACCCCAAGGCAGCCCAGCCAATAGAGAGACAGAGGAGTCTGAGCAGGCCCCTGATACACACACACCACCATGAGGACTGCATGATGCACTGGGTTTCCACTTTATCGCAAATTAAACTAAAACCCAGGGGTACTGGAAAAAGGACAGCCCTCTCCCTTCTCACTCTCTAACTATCCTTCCTCCCATCAGATCCCCAGGACTTTCACAGCCAGGGCTGACAGGAGGGAACGGGAACTCGTGGCTCTGAAGGGATGTGTCCCCAGCTCTGATGAGGTCTAAACTGCTTTCCCCAGGAGGAAATAAGCCAGCATCCCTGGGTTGGGCCTCAAGGCCAGTCTCAGAGGCGGCAGGTACAGCACTGTGGTTTTGCACTCTTTGGTCTTAAAGGTCTGAGGCAAGGGCAGGGGAGGGGTAGGGACTTGGAGAGCAACCAGACTTTGAGGAAGAAAAAATTAGGAAAAAAGAAAAAATCCAGCCCATCTGGGGCTTTTGTGAACCCTGTCGTTGCAAAACCAAAAGTAGTCCTTTGAGATGTTTGTGTAGTAACACTATGAAAGATAACATAGATTTATTTCACATTTGTCGGTTTTTATGTCCATACACACAGTTACACACAAAAAAAGGTAGGAGGCAGCCTATTGGTGAGGAGGGGAGGAAGGGAACCGCTATTCCCCGGAACCATTGTGCCCCTGACCCACCAGCTGTGTACAGAGAGGACGCTGTGCTGTGTGACAGAAACAAGTGCAGTCATCTACTCCCCAGTCATAGATGAAGAGAAGAGACACTGCCGGGAGTGGGGCTAAGAAACAGCCAAGGACAGGCCGGACGTGATGGCTCATGCCTGTAATCCCAGCACTTTGGGAGGCAGAGGCAGGCGGATCATGAGGTCAGGAGTTTAAGATCAGCCTGGCCAACATAGTGAAACCCCGTCTCTACTAAAAATACAAAAAATTAGCTAGGCATGGTGGTGGGTGCCTGCAGTCCCAGCCACTAGGGAGGCTGAGTCAGGAGAATCGCTTGAACCCAGGAGGCAGAGGTTGCAGTGAGCTGAGATGGCACCATTACACTCCAGCCTGGGGGACAGAGCAAGACTCTGTCTCAAAAAAAAAAAAAAAACCAAAAAACAAACAAACGACGAAGGACCAGTGGTGTCCTTTCAGCCACTCAATTCCCAAGACCCAATCTTCCTCCCGAAAGCCAAGAACTTCTATTATGGGGTGGGGGGAGCAAACTTGGGTCAAGTCCAGAAGGGAAAAGGGGGCAAGTCCAGAAGGGAAAAGGGTGAGCTACTCCTCATCTAACTGTGCAAAGGCCAGGAATTATTTCAGGTGCCCCAGATCCTAGCATCTCTGCCCACCCACCCAGGTCCCTCTTCTTTCACCCAGTCCCTTCCTCCACAGCCCACAGGGTGGGGTTGGTGGGACACTCCAGAAGGGTGGATGGGTGATCTCAGGCCCCTGGGAGGCCACAGATAGATCAGCTTGGGTGCAGCATGGTCACGTCTAGGTTGATCCTTAGAGTGCCCAGGGCCCCAGGAAGGCTGGGCCCAGAGAAGGAGGCCACCTTCAAGTGAGATGTGAAGCCAGGAAGCCTTCTCCCCACCCACTCTCTAAGAACTCCACTGCCAACCCGAAATCAAACTCGCGCAGCGGGGGCCCATCCACTGCGATCTTCACCACGTGGCCGCCCCGGCCTTCCCTAGCCCTGCTCTGCCCCCACCACCGCAGCTCCCGGCTGCGGCCGACCTTATCCAGCAGGCCAGCGCCCGCGGGCAGCGCCAAGGCCAAGGCTGCTAAGGCAGCGAAGTCAGGGAAGAGCTCGTGCAGCTCCGAGTGCGCGCACGCCAGCTGGGTGCACAGGGCCCGAGGGCCAAGCCGCCCAAGGCTGAACACCACGCGCTTGAACAGCGCGAAGTCTCCCAGAGCCCGCTGGCGCACCACCGCAGGCGCAAAGCCGCGCAGCAGCAACCGCAGCGCCCCCTCGCCATGCGCGCCCAGCTCCTCCGGTGCCTGTGGGTAGCGGCGAGGGTCAAAGATCGCCGCGAAGGCGGCCACAGCGTCCAGCGAAGGCCCGGGGTAGGAGTCCTGTAGGCCCTTCCGCATGGAGTCCAGGAAGGACCCCCGGAGCTGCTCCAAGCCCCGGACAGCGGCCTCGGAGTAACCCAGCAGCTCCACGCCGCGGTAGGTGTAGCGCCCGCTGTTGGTGTCCGGATCAGAGGATGCCAGCTCCTGCAGGAAGCTCTGGAGGCGGGCCCCACCTGAGCCGCGCTGAGCTTGGAGGGAGGCCGCAGCTGCCATCACCGAGGGCCGCAGCAAGGCCAAGTCCGGTTCTTCTGCCTGCATGACAAGGGAGAGCTTCTGCACAGAGGGCAGGGCATCCAGCAGCAGGTACGTGAAAGCCACAAAGGTGAACTGTCGCAGGGCCAGGGCCAGTGATCCCGCCACAGGGGAGGCCAGGGCTGCAGCCTCCAGGGTGGGCACCAGGCCAGGCCAGGCCTCTGCCACTGCTTCCACCACAGGCAGCAGGGAGGCCCAAGGCACTGGCCGAGGCCCTGCCAAGTCAATAGCTGCAAGGTCCAGTGCTGCCCGGAGCTCAGGGACCAAGTGGGAACTAGGGCCACCATGGAGGCGGAATAGGGCATCCAATATGCTCTCATATTGACCCAAGTAGGCAGGAGGCTCAGGATCTGTCCGGCCAGGGAGGCAGTGCAGCTCTGCCATCAGTGGGCAAGTGGCCCGGAGCTGTGGGCCCACACTCCCCAGGCGGCCACTGGGGAGGCTTGAACTGAGCCAGGCCAGCTTGGATGCAGATACACCGAAAGCCTGCAGGATGTCCAAGAGCTGGCCAGCAGTGGCCTCGCCCTCCTGTAGCTCCATACTGCCCAGGAAGGTAGTGGCGGGCTGGCCATCACAGGGGGACACCGAAGTGGCAAACAGGGCCAGGCTGTGTGACTCCGGCCAGTCCCTGGTCTCGTCCAACACCAGCCCCACATATGGGGATGCCTTCAGGCGCTGGCAGGCCTCTGTGTGCAAGACACTGGCAATGGCCACCTGGGACAGCCAGGAAGAGAAAGGGAAGGAGGACAGAATTAGGCTTGTCCTGAGAGGCGGAGGCAGGCAGTGCGGCCTTGAGGTCAGACAGACTTAGGGACTAATCCTGGCTTTGTCACTTACTGGCTGTGCTACCTCTGGCCAGTCACTTCACCTCTCTGAGCCTCAGTTTTCTCATCTCTACAACTCCTGGTCTCTCTAAGAGCAATCCTCCCACCCTGGCCTCCCATCACACCCTGTCTAGTCTTCTCAGCTCTTTTTTTTGAGAGAGTCTCGCATTGTTGCCCAGGCTGCAGTGCAGTGGCACGATCTTGGCTCACTGCAACCCCCGCCTCCCCGGTTCAAGTGATTCTCTGGCCTCAGCCTCCTGAGTAGCTGGGATTACAGGCATGTGCCATCAAGCCCAGCTAATTTTTGTATTTTCAGTAGAGACAGGGTTTAACCATGTTGGTCAGGATGGTCTTGATCTCCTGACCTGGCAATCCGCCCACCTCGGCCTCCCAAAGTGCTGGGACTACAGGTATGAGCCACTTCGCCCAGCCCTTCTCAGCTCTTATACCTGCTGTCAGCTAATACTAGCCCATATCTTCTCAAAGCATTGTTGTGAATTATCAATGTCAACTTTTGTTGCTGTAAAAGTGCTTTATGAACCATAAAGAGCTCTAGGAAAGCTAGTTTTTTCACTACTTTTCTATACATCACCCTAGTCTGCCTTATCCCTGGGGGGTCTCCCTCCCCTGTCCAGCTCAGGGATTAACTGATAGGCACACTAACTCCCAATTCCCAACCAGTTACCCTGGGTCCCAGCTGTGTGCTGTTTCTCTGTTTGTCATCTCTGTAGGATAAGATCCAACTCCCCCACCTCCAACCCAGCCCATAGGACTCACACAGTTAGCACCTAGGACAGAGCTACAATCTGCATGCCTCCAGGGGCCACGTGAGTGACACTGAGCTTGGAGAGGGCCAGGGATAAGCCAAAGGGCATGGGGAATTCCAGCACATCCCGCTCTGACAGCATGGAGACTTTGCTTTTCAATAAAGTCACAAATCTAGATTTTTATAGGTAATCTCCTGAGTTTTTTTTAAAGTTGAAAACAAATTTGAGCTTTTCAAAAACACTATGAAAACTAATTAAACAGGCTGGGCACAGAAAATAGCCCCAAAAGAAAACTAGGTCACAAGTCATTTCCATTTCCATTCCAGCACTTTTGGGGGGTCCAAGACAGGAGGATTGCTTGAGGCCGGGAGTTCAAGACCAGCCTGGGCAACGTAGTTAGACACCCATCTCTATGTAAAAAAAAAAAAAAAGTCTGGGCACAGTATCTCACGCCTATAATCCCAGCACTTTGGGAGGCTGAGGTGGGTGGATCACCTGAGGTCAAGAGTTCAAAACCAGCCTGGCCAATATGGTGAAACCCCATCTCTACTAAAAATACAAAAATTAGCCAGACATGGTGGCACACGCCTGTAATCCTAGCTACTAGGGAGGCTGAGGCAGGAGAATCACTTGAGCCAGGCAGGCAGAGGTTGCAGTGAGCTGAGATGGTTCTAGTGCACTCCGGCCTGGGCAACAGAATGAGACTCCTTCTAGGGAAAAAAATTAAATATATAAACAAATTAAATACATCTGTGTAATCAAGCCTCCCGGCCACCAGTTTGCAACGTCTCTTTCTGTGCCCACTAAGGTCAGGGCCTGGTCTGGCCTCTTTAGTGTTATACCCCTGCAGCTGGCCCAGCACCAGGCATACAGCAGGCCCTCAGGGAAGGTTCTGAAGGGTGAAGATATATGAATAAAATGCCCTAGCTGCTGCCCAAGGGCCTGGCATCCTGGGATGCTGGGGCTGTTCCCAGGTAGCTCAGTGTCCTCCCTCCCCAAGCCCTTCCCCCATACTTCTGGCTCTCACCCACCTGCATGTCCCTCACCCTCCTGGGACTGTAGTAATCGCCATGCTCTGTGCCCAGCAGTGCCTGGCACAGGTTGAACCTCTGCAGCTCAAGCAGGGCAGAGCAGCGGTCGACAGGCACATCCTCCTTAGCCATGCAGTACACGGTAGTCAGCACAGCCACTTTGGCCGGGTCTACCTCCACCTTGACGCCCCTGGAGGTGGGAGTTGTAGCCAGGCCTGGGTAGGGCCCTCTGCCCTCAGACTGGCCCTCAAAAGGGGGCTGGCCCTGGTTGACGGCCAGAGCCTGGCGGTGGGCTCCTGAGGTCACGTGGCGCAGCAGGGCGTGGCGCTGGAAGTTGTCAGTGCCCACGGTGAAGGCGTTTTCGGCTTTGCCATGCTTGTTCCGCACCAGGGCCTGGCGGCACTCGAGGCAGAACATCAGCTTCCGCTCATAGTCAAAGTCCAGCCAGGTAAACTCCTCTTTCCAGTGCTCGTTGAAGTAACGCTTACACTTTTTGTTGGAGTTGGAGGCCTCTCCTGCTGGTTTCTTCCCTGGGGGCACCATTCTTGCTCTCTGAGCGAGGAACCCCCAACCCCCACTTGAATGCTCTTGCCCCCCTGCCTCCCCCACACACAGAGGTACCTCCCTTGACAAAGGGAGTTGATGGGGAGGCAGGATGGGGGCAGCCCGCCAGGCTAAGAAGGCACATCCATCTAACTTAGCCTGGAGAGTTTACTCCTGCTCCGCTGGTAGGAGACTAGAGATGAAAGAGACAAGGGAGAGCGCCGTTAGGGGTCCATCATGGTGGCGGCGGTTTAGGGTGGAGTGGGAGTTCATGCTCCGCACAGAGTCCTCCCAGCTGAGGGGTGGAGGGACTCAATGGGGCAGGGGCTCTGGGCAGTGGGTGCAGTCATACAAAGGGCCCTGGAATGTTATCCAAAGCAGGGGAGGTGTGGGGACCCAGCCCCCTCCCAGGGTCTCTTTCCACCCAGGACAAGGCGCCGATTGCTCTGACTGCTGAAGCATTTCAGAGCTGGAGAGACTAGCATCACCTAGGCAACTGTATTTTGCAAGGGGAAAGCTGAGTCTAGAGACAGATAGTGGTTCTCAGGGCCCATGAGGAATTCATGGTGACCCAGGAGTAAAACTCAGAACTCTCAGCTCCTAGCCCAAAAGATGACCATGCCCTTCAGCCCACAGTCATCTATTTTATCAGGAGGAAATCAAGCCGGGCGTGGTGGCTCACTCCTGCAATCCCAGCACTTTAGGAGGTGGCTCAATTGAACCCAGGAGTTTAAGATCAGCCTGGGCAATGGCAAAACCTCACCTCTTAAAAAAAAAAAAATTAGCCAGGCATAGTAGTGCATGCCTATAGTCCCAGCTACTGGGGAGGCTGAGGCGGGATTGCTTGAGCCTGGGAGGCAAAGGTTGCAGTGAGCCATGAAGGCGCCACTGCACTCCAGCCTGGGTGACAGAGCTAGACCCTGTCTCAAAAA